CCTTTTCTCGAGTTGACACGTTTTAGGATGGTGGCTAGACGATCTGCACCAGCTTCACAAGGGTTCACAAGTTTTACCAGGGTGAGATTTGTAAACCGGAACTAGGGAAGCAATGGTAGTACAAAATGCCCCCCCCCCGTCGACAAACAGCGCCCTACTTAGTAACAGAGTTCGAGTGCTCTGGAGCTCTGGACTTAGGAGCTTTTTGCATTAGATAGCGCTGATTCATTGAACACCCGAATCCTGACCCGTTCTATGTTTACAGGCTATCTGTTATCCATCCAAACAGTGGTCAACATGGCTACTACGTGCAGTATAGGCGCGGCCAAACCGATCAACAACCGTACCCTACGAGCGTATGTTTATAACTCAATATAATTTATCTCTTCCCATCAGTTTCTACTCGTTATACGCAGAATGTGTTCACTGAAGTGCCAATTAATCATAGTACACTTCATTCTTCGCAGGATTTTTAAAGCATGTTTTTATTTCTCAACTATCTCGTTGACCTTGACCCATTATTTATTGGTAATTCAGGTTCATGCCGACTCTAAACCCGAACCGGTCTATGCAAAAGTGCAACGTGTTAGTGCTAATCCGTATCATCATCAGCCTGTGGGACAGCAGGTACGAAAGACTAGATGTAGAAGTATTTGAACTTTTGAGCATACCAAGTATTTAGGGGTCATTTCGTCGGGAATCGGTGTGCTCAGTGACAAGTGAAAGACGACTGGAAAATGCTGATGCTGAAAAAGTAACTGGTGAAATCGACAGAATGTTCGAATTTGTGGATGTAAGTTAGTTGCATTGTAGTTGTAGTTGTTGCGAGAAGTTTAATGTCTTGTTGTCTTATGTCTGCGCTGTGTATCGTTTAGCACTCTTGCCCTTATGACTATGAACAGATCAACGTCATTTACTGAATAGCGTAAGTGCCAGAGGCAGGCATACCCAAGTGGTTAAGACTGTTGCCTCTTGTCTGCACTAGGAGCCACGAGTTCGATCCTTTCCGAGGCACAACTTATGCCTTGCAGAAAGTGCAAAAATGGTTACCAGCGTCAGGCCCAGGTTGCCAGGCCGGCTGGTGGAGAACTCCATCGCGACAAAAATGATTAGAAGTCTATGAAGCCAGAACTGCTCTTGAGAGACAGTGCTTTTAACTTCTCCAGGAAACCAGTAAAGTTATAACCTGTGTTTGTAAACAAAGTAGCTCCCCCCACCTTCCCGTTCTCTCTTGAAACGTGAAAGTGTTAGTGTCTTACGACAGGTGAACGACTGAAGCGGTTTTTTTACCCTCTACTGTCCCTTTCTTTTGAACTTTTACTTCTGAAATAGATCTGCCGAAAACCTTGGCTGCTTCCGTTTAGCACATCCGCTCGAAGCAAAGACCCATTTTCCGCGCGCCAGCGCCACTGACGCAAAAGTTTCTTTACCCAGGAGGTTACTCCCTCTTCATAGGCTCAGGTCCTCGGGGTATGAAATGCTACCAAATCTATTCCCGGGCAAAAATTCGATGAAAATTTGGTCCTGGATTTCGTGGGTGGTGGTAAAGGGTTAATAGTGCCAAGTAAAGGGTTGATAGTGCCAAGGCTAGAATGTGAAACATTGATAAAAAACTTCATTCAGGAACACGATGGACTGAGCACTTTGGGTCGTGAGACGGAAACAGAAAGTACAACTGGTGTAGTGAAACATGGCGACTATGGAATCGTCAGAGGCGAAGTGGGTGGACACCTCACTGAACTGCCACCTGTTCCTCCACAGCCTCCGCTTGCCCACAGTAACCTGGATGCCACAAAAAGAGGTCGATCGGATCAACCGCTCAAGTATTCAGTAAGTCTTTTGAAGCATTGATTTATTTTTGCAAAACATTCGCAGTGTACCTTTTCATTTTCCCTTAACACTTTCTTAAAGCTGTATTTTTAGATTAGCGGCTACCGCGATATGCAGCGCGTACAGCGCATGGGTCGAGTTACGTCGGATGCACCTCCGAGGTTCTCCCCGTTGACCGCACCAACCCCTGGCATTGGTGTGAGTACATACAAGTCAAGAGAAGGAACCATTGGGGAAAAAGTTTGTTGTCCTCACTTGATTTTTGATGTTGTGTCAATTGCTCTTAAGAAATGTTACCCAGAAAAGTTATGCTGAGTCATTCCAGGTGAGCACCATAAGTCGTTATTCTCGTCCTAATACGCAACCATCAGCACTTGCGACATCGACACCTGTTAATTCTCCCTTGGGTACGGGATTTTCTCAAAGTAAGTTTGCCCGAATAAGTATTACACCTTTTTACGTGGTCTCTTTATTGTATTGTTCAGAACAACCTGATGTACCAAACCTTGATGATTCCTTCGTAAGCACCATTACAACTGCCAGCCAGCTTCACGATGCTCACGAGGAATACAAACGACAGATCGCTGTACGATTTTTTTTTCTTCGGTCGGGGGGGGGGGGGCTTTTCTTCCACTCATTTCGTGTGTAAAAAAGTAGGTTGTGCTAGAGACAAAAAGGGCGTGGCTATCTGGGCTCTGGGCTAGTCCTTCCAATGAGGTCTATTGTGTGCAAGAGTCAACATAGTAGGCACCTTGCAGGGTGTTGCAA